TCAATGTGATCATTTTCAGGTGTTTTCTCACACACACACACACACACACACACACACACACACACACTTTTTTTTTAATTGGCCAAATTTCAAAGTGGAATACCATTTCAACATAAAAAGTTGAAATATAACATTTCAAAATGGTCAAAATGAAATTTTTTGACATTTTTGAAATAAAAAAAGTAGTAAAAATTATTTGTTGAATTCTATCTGAATTGTGAATAGATTCAGAGATCCAAAAAATACATTTTTCAGCAAAAATACCATTTGCAAAAAGAATTTTTTTTAAAATTCACCTAGCTCTATGTAGGAGCAGGGACTGGCAATTATACCCCCATCAGTAAGGCATTGACATAGGGATCTGCCCAGATGGAGCTCACTACAGGCATGGTGGACTTAAAGTGAAGCTGAAGAGTAAGAATCTAGACTATGAAGCGTTTTATTCTGTCAGGTTCTTAATGACAACTCAGATTAATCTTTTCTTCCACCCCCAACCCACAATGTTTTGAATCTTTAAGGTCACAAGATTTATTAAAAGAGTTTATGATGAACAGTTTGTTTAGCATTGTAATTATCTTCTGCAATACAAAGCAAACACACTGGAAAATAATGAGAGTCTATTTTAGCAGAGCATATTATTAGGATCTTTTTCATTTACAGAATAAAGAAAACTCATTCTGTCATTGTGAGGATAGAAAATAAAGAGTTGATGGCTTAGAAAGCGGACAATGGAATATGACTCTTTTTACCACTAGGACATCAATTTAAATCCCACCCAGGTTAGTAATGATTGAAAGTCATTGCCGTTGCTAGCCTATGTGAAATGAGTTATGGCTAAGCTTGGCAGAATTTGATATTTTTAAAAAATAATTTTGATGGATAATATCAATGTTTAATCATCTTTTCCCCCAACTTTTATCTACTTACATTTTTGCATTTGTAGGAAATTATGGGAGGGTCATATATAATAATTTAACAACAGTATGAAATTGAAAAAGTTAAAGCTTTATAACAGTTAAAACACAAATTGTCAACTTTACATGTCAAAATATATCAAGTAAATATCCTTAAATCAAACTCTAATAAGTTTTCAAGCAGCATTTTTCTTAATTGAAATTTACAAATAGGCAAAGTATCAGTAGAAATGTTTTTTTCATCAGTTTGTGTGTACGGTGAAATCAATATTTACCAATAAAAATCTAATCCTTCCAGTCTAGTTATGGCCCCTTACTCAGTGGACACATATCCACAGTGTACATACGGGCACCACTTTTCACATTAATTAATGGCTTCAGCAGAGATTCTTAGGATTACTAAGGGCACAGAAACTGAACTCATCCCTAACCGTGGCCTTTCTAGAAAAGGATTTACACACACCAGTAGGGTGGAGTGGAGAATCTTGGACTACCCCTACCTGTGCTGTGCCCAAGTCTGTATATGAACAAATTATTTCACAGTCTAACAGGGTTAGTTCAGCACCATGCGCAAGCACTAAATTAATATAATTAAAAATAACGTGGGGACAAAATGAGGGCTCTAGATTAAAAAACATTTTATTGCAGCTGAAAGTAGGATGGTCAATTTTTTTAGTGGCAGGATTAGACCACTTTGCTCTCTGGTTTGGTGAAAAGACTCAAGGATGAAATAATTATTGCTTAATGAAATCTAGGGGTTAAGATGCTTAGTACTTTTAAAGTATATCGTGGATCTCCCAATTCAACCCTCTTTGGAAGTAGTTCTAGCTTTCAAGGAAATGTGTCTATTTTCTGTAACATAGGATGGAGTTATGTAAATCTCATCAAGTGCCTCAAGTCACTACATTACAGCATTTTTCTGTAAATATTTGTATAGAGGTGTAGTTATCTTGAATTTTGCATATGGTCTTTAGGTCCATACAGTACTGTAAGCAGCGTTACAAGTGGGTGCAGTTTCATTGACATTCTAAAAGTTGTTTTGATTAAATGACTTCAATACAGTTGGAGCAACCAACTCTGAATTTGACCTGCAATCTTTATATTCCATTAAGGGAGATTTTGGAAGTGAATTATATTTAAAGTTTACTTTCACAGAATATGAAGCAATGCAATTAGAACTTCCAGGCCTTTTGATAGTTAAAGGAAAAGCTCCACTTTTAATGGCACTCTAGTAGCTTGAAAGATTGGAATAGCACCAACTAACAGTTATGGTGAGCACTGATCACAAAACTGTTTTAATTTAATATCTCAATAAGTTATCAGAAAAAGCACTCAACTGAAGACAAAACACCATAGAAAGGAACTATGTGGTATCTGAGTACAAAAGAAAAAAAAACAATCTCTTTGGAATATGAGAGTTCATATGCTTTGGTTCTTAAGGTAATCATTAAAAGAAAATTTGCCACATCCACATTTGGATAATAAACAACAGCTTAAGTTTTCAGCTCCAATCAAAGGAAAACAGATTTGAGAAACAAATACATATGGTGGTAATCTGCATTCCCATCTTAACTTTTAAGCTTACATTTAAATAACATTTCTCTGTTTCTTATATATAGCAATTTTGGTAAATATGTCTCAAGGTGGCTTGAAATGTACATTAATCTGCTATGAAGAAAAAACAACAACCCAGTAGTACACATTAGTCAACAGGGGATAATCACCATTACGATTTAAGCAAAACATTTTCTATAACTGACTTACATCAACTAGATGACTCTAGAGATCATGGAATATTACATAATTAGAGAACAACGCTCATCCAGAATCCATAGGAGTGGCTTTTTCCGCCTCGCTCCAGTTTAAAGCAGCTGAACAAATTCAGAATTTTATTTTGTGTTGAAGTTACGCTAGTTATACTTCTGCATCACATAATAGAAAGTTGTATCTCCCACTACAACAGTGTTAGCATGAAAGAAATGTGCTGAACAGAATAAAAATAAAAAGGAGTTAATCTCTGGAATTGTTTTGATTTGACAAAGAGGAAGTAAACCAAACAAACCTCCTCCCTTTCATCAACAGTTACTGTATCAAAAACAACATCATTACAAGTATCCATTGACAGTATAATAATTTGACACACAATAAAACCAACTTCTTTCCAGTCATAAATTAAGGACAAATTAAATATACATATCATTGAATGACTTTGTTAACCTACTGCATATCCAGTTCTACCTGTCCTGACCCATGTTCCTGGAACTTTGCAACAATCAATAACCTGCCCATTCTTTGGTTCCCCGGTAACATATTATGACATTATAAGTTTTACACAACACGCCTCTTCTTTTGCTCCTCTCTAATTGTGCTCAAGAAAATGACTGGTTAGAGCAGTAGTCTCCAACCTTTTTATGTACAAGATTACTTTTTGAATTTAAGTGCAACCCAGGATCTACCCCACTCTTTCCCCAAGGCCCCGCCACCTTCCCGCTCACTCACTCCCCCCCACCCTCATTCACTTTCACCGGCCTGGGGCAGGGGGTTGGGGTTCGGGAAGGGGGTGCAGGCTCTGGGTTAGGGCCGAGATGTTCGGAGTGTGGGAGGGGGCTCTGGGCTGAGCCTGGGGCAGGGGGTTGGGATGCAGGAGGGGGTGAGGGGTGCAAACTCTGGGAGGGAGTTTGCATGCAGGAGGGAGCTCAGGGCTGGGGGTTGGGATGCAGGAGGGGGTTTGGAGTGCTGGCTCTAGGAGGAGGCTCGGGGTTGGGGTGCGGGTTCCCGCTGGGTGGCACTTACCTCGGGCGGCTCCCAGTTGGAGGCGCAGCGGGGCTAAGGCAGGCTCCCTGCCTACCCTGGCCCCATGCTGTTCCCGGAAGCGGCCAACACGCCCCTGTGGCTCATGGAGGGGGCCCATGTGGCTCTGCGCACTGCTCCTCCCTGCAAGCACCGCCCCCACAGCTCCCATTGGCCAGGAACAGGGAACTGCGGCCAACAGGAGCTGCAGGGACGGTGCTTGCAGGCAGGAGCAGTGCGCAGAGATCCCTGCCCCCGCCCAAGGGGCCGCAGGAGTGTGCTGGCCACTTCCGGGAGTGGCAAGGGGCCAGGGCAGGCAGGGAGCTGGTGACCACTGGATTAGAGCAAATTATAAGGGTATACATTTTTAATTTATAAAGTGCACTATGCAAGAATTCCAAGGCACTATACTTTTCAGGAGGAATTACAAATCTTATCCAAAACAATATTAAAAATGAAAGAATGAAAGGTTTGTTTTTATATAATACTGACATAATAATACAGATAATATCAATTTTAGAACACAGTAGGTAATACAGTTCACATATGGACAATGCAGTCCTTTATAGTTAAGGATCAACATTAAAAAAATCAAGGCACAGACAAATCTGAAGTCAATAAGGCGGCCCCCCTCTGTAAAGTGGTCAAAAAATAAGCTTCAGTTACTTAAGCAAAGAGGTGACTTGTTTGTGCTGTCTGTGAAAAGTTTTTGATTTATCTGTCCAAATAAAATGGTTTCCTCATTTAAACAGATAGAATGAGCAAAACAAACCAACACAGAGCTGCGAAATGGTGCTGCATTCTGAACACTTCAATCACTTCTTGAGCTCTTTACATTCTTATATTCCTACCTTCCTAAATTCTGCTCACGAATGACTTCTATCAGATTTCTAACACAAAGAAGTGAATTCCGCCAATCCAACATAACAAATAGATGCTAAAGCTTCTGCTGCTAAACTCTGTTGAACAGAGAAGAAACCAAAGAGCTGTCTGATGTGAAAAGATTGCTAAAAGCAAACCACAAAACCAGTGCAGAAGTATCAGTAGTTCTTTAAAAGTCTCAAGATTCCATTGAGTGTATCTTTTAGGTTCAAAAGACGCAGGAGGGGAGAGCACTTTGGACCGGTAAATCAGAAAAATCTGTCTCTCATGAAAAGTAACTAATGATCTAATTCAGACAACTGATGAAAAACAGACCTTGAACAACAGAATCATAAATATTTATCTACCCATCTGATAATGTAATTCAGAATAACTGTTGCTGAGTAGGATTTTTTTAAAAAAAATATAACTTACCTTAATTGTTTTGCATAGTTTTGTTCAATCTCTATCCTTTCTTTTACAAACTTTGCATATCTCTCCAAGAAGTCAATGCCCCACTGTGTATGCTTGTCTAAGTTATCAAATTGATCCTTTAAAACAAAACAAAGAAATTCAATTAGCTACACAAGGTTTAAAAAAAAAAAATCACAAAATTCTATCAATTTCATTTAGTTATGAAGTTGTGGTCTTTGATATTTAGATATAACTCACTACAATGGGGATAATAAAGCCAGTCCTATGCATATCACAACCCTCATATGCCAGAATATTAGTAAGCTAAAATCACATGTGCAAACATACTTTTGGCTCTTCATGTAAAAAGCACCTGTACTCATATTTAAAAATTACTCACAGTTGATTTTTTTTTTTCATAAAAAGTAATGGCCATTAATATTTGTATTACTTTAAAAATAAACAATCCTTTTCAATCAAGGAAGGTTTCCAACACAACACTGAAAATATAAGTGGAGACAAGCGTTCTGTAATTGGTTAACAGACTATTTAAGTACCATTTCTTTCACAAGAGATTTTTGAGGAATTTAAAAATTCCTCAACACAGACCCTAGGTATGGTTTCTAGACATTCAAAAAAGTATTTACATCCTTAAGATGACCCAATGTCAGAAAACATACTTAAGTGATACTGTACAACAAAGGTGGATACATTCCGTATTTCAAACACAGATAGTCAAAGTCATCAGCAAATGCTCACTCCATGATAGGTGCGGGTGACGGTCTCCAGACAGAGCAAAGCTAGTCCTAAAAATGAAGAGAGCTATGACAAACTGGCAACAGAAGACAGAAACTGGATTTTAAAAAAGCAGATTTCTTTAGAAATGATCAAAAACCCTGTTATATTGCTACCGTCAAAGCTGAATTTTCACTATTACAGGTGGCAGATCAACAGGTCGAGCAAACATTCATTGAGGGTGAAGAAGGAATCCAAAAACAAAAAGGGGAAACTTGAATGAAATATCTAACAAAAAATGAAGATGCAGTTCAGTAAACCACACTGCACACATTCATATTTTTATATTAAAAGTTTAAACTATGCCATGCTGAAGAGAAGTCCAGGATTTGTGTTTTAATATGACAATATTTATTGTAAATTCTGACTATATTTAGCACACCTCCTCATGAACAATTTCTCGATAGTCTAAAAAAAACCACGAGCAAATGTAAAAACAAATACAAGCTATCATACAGCGTCCCCCATAGAAACTGTGTCCAGATACACTTGATAGTTAAATAGTACAGCTATAAAATAAAATTAAAAATTAATACCAGAGAAAGTGATGAGGTATAGGCAAGGCTAATTGTGTTGCCTTTACATATTTAAAGTTTGCATAATAGAACACTACTTCATTATCTTAAGCTATGCACCATGCCTGGCAACCCTGACTCAATATTGCACCTTAACTTAATGAGTCATACCAGCCTTTCCTACTAACAACTTTAATCTTCTTGTTCCAATGCACACTACAGTGATTTGAAGTTGCATCAAGGAATGCTGAGGTACAATGCACTTTGGCAGACTTAAACAATATAACATTGATTGAAATGATATCTGGAAGATACTGGTAGTAAAAATATACCATCATTTAGGGTATTTAAGATCAAACAACATTTTATCAGCTTTGACAAATGTAAGGAAGAAATTCAGAATTAAGATTGCTTTCAAATCTCAACCTGTTGGGTTTAGGGCACTGAAGCATAGATTAAATATATCCCACACATCTAATTTGTGCCATAATGGTGATTTAAAGACAGTGTCGGCCTTCACTCTACATTTCTTTGAAGTCAGACCCTGAACATTGTTAAAACAGGGTTTTTTGGGAGGCATTAAAATATCATATGTAAGCATAAATTATAACTTTCTCAGAAGCTTTGGTCTTTTATATTCTGCTTTTGTTTTCGTAATTACTTTGACAATATTACCCTTGTATCCAACTGAAGTCCCAATAAGTTGTTTTTGATAGGGAGCCAATGGTCAGAGCCATTAAAAAAAGACTTCCTTCAGTGAACAGCAAAACAATTCCTTTGCTGTCCTAGTTTCGGCTGCTTACTCCACACTACTTTGATTTGCTGCCAAGGTTTAACTTAATATTCTGGAACACCAAACTGTTAATATTTTAGAACACAACCACAGAGAATATCTTTCCAATATTACAGGATCAAATAAAAAACAAATAATTTGAGGGATCAGTTAATGAAAATTACTTATTTACTACTGACATATACAAAGATGAACCTGTATAAGTAATATACCTCTCTCCTTCTACCATTAACAAAAGGATCACTCCTCCTCACTGAAAAACTTTCCTTTCTTTACTTCATCTTCCTCCATCTCATTCTAGAAGCTGCAGGTTCTGAGCGAGGACAGCTAGGGATAGGAGATCTTGCTTTTGCTTCCATGAGAAGAATAATTTGGCACCGAATGAAACAAAGGCTGCTGGAAAGAGAGGTTGCTCACCATGTGTAGTAACTGGAATTGATCAGAGATTTTTGGTAGTGGTGCCCATTCAGCCTGCACATGCAAGACAAAGGCTATATGGGGCTGAGCAGGCGAACCACCTTCCTTCTCCACTGCAAAGTCCCACAAGGGCAAATTCAAAGCAGAGGAGGAGGAGGACGGGTAGTGAAGCACCGACAGGGGGACACATCTCAAAGAATTCAAGTTACTGCAGAAGGTTAGTAAACTCTCCTCCTTCTTCAAGTAATGTTCCTGTGGGTGTGTCACTTCAGGTGACTCCCGAGCAGTACCCTCCTAAGGAGGCAGGAGGTTGAGAGCAGAGTCCAAGAGAAAAGAGAGAACTGAATTGCCTACAGCAGCATCTGATCTTGCCACAGACACCAGGACATAATGATTAGAAAAGATACGAACAGAGGACCAAGTTGCCGCTCTACAGATGTCTGCAATTGGTACATCCTTAAGTAAGTACATAGTGCTATTGAAGAATGTGCTATCACTCTCAAAGGCGATTGGATATCAGCTCTGTCATAACAAGTTTTAATACAACCACAGATCCACTTTAACAGCCTCGATTTTGAAGTTACCAAACCCTTTTTTTCTGCCTGCAATGGATACAAATAATCTAGGGCATTTTCTAAATGGTTTGGTCCCGTTTTGGTAGAAGGCCAATGCCCTCCTGACTTCCAGAGTACGGAATATGGCTTCTTGACTAGTCTGATGCAGTCTGGGGAAGAAAACCGGAGATGAATGGTTTGATTAATGTGGAATTCTGACGACACTGTAGGTAACAATCTTGGATGACCCCATACCAACACTTTAGCTCTGTTGAATACCGTAAATGGGGGATCCACCATTAAAGCCCCCAATTCTCATTCCCTTTGGGCACAAGAGATCACTACCAGAAAGGCTTTCTTCATAGAGAAATCTAACAACAAACACATAGCTAGTGGTTCAAACAGATGCTTCAGAAAGGAAATTAAGGACTAGGTTCAGGTCCCAGCTACGAGTATGTCTCCGATTTGTGAGGAGATATTCAACAAACCTCTTAGGAATCTTGCTGTAGTACGAAGAGTGAAAAACCCCCTGAGTGTGTGAAAGGCTGTTACTGGTGTTAAATGAAGCCTAATGGAATTTACAGAAACACCTGATGTTTTCAATTCCAACAGATAATCTAATATCCTAGGAAGAGGAGAATGAATTGGAGAAATCTGATGTGATAATATTTCAATTTCTGGAGGTAAGTATTTCTTGTAGATGGTTTAATAAAACTTGTACCTCTGAGGAACAAGATAGCTCTATTCCTAAGAACCACTGAGGAATCATGCTTAGAATCTCAGAATCTGCAAGTTGGAGTAAAGTGTTTGACCGACATCTTGAGTCAGTAGGTGAGGACTGATCGGAAGCTTCCAGGAAGGACAAGAGGTGAGTCCCATTAGATACCAGACTTGTCTAGCCACATTGGTGTAATCAGTACAACTCTGGCCCAATTTTATTTGATCTTGTTGAGAATCTTTAACAGTAATGATGTCAGTGGAGATGCACAGAGAAGTCTTTTCATCCACAAGATGAGAAATGTGTCTCCTAGAGATAGGGGATCGAGATGCCCTCGCCCCCCGGAACAATACCTGATGCATTTTGAGTTGGTTGCCGTGGCAAATGTATTGATCTTCAGGAACTCCCAAGCTAAGAACATCGTGTGGAGGACTCTGGAGTTTAATTCCCATTCATAATTTAGACATAAATGTCTGTTGAGGTCATCTGCGATGGTGTTCTGAATACCTGGTAGGTAAGAATCTGAGATGACTATGTGCTTGGCTATGCACCAATTCTAGGGTTTTATCACTTCAGCCCAGAGAGATGAGGAACATGCTCCTCTCTGATGATTGATACACGCATGCCACACTGTCTTGTCATGATCTTTATTGACTTTGATCTGATTAGAGGTAGAAAGTGTAGCAAGCATTTCTGACAGCTCTCAATTCAAAAGATTTACGTGTAGAAGCTGCTCTTGTAGAAACCATTTGCCTTGCACCTTAAGAGGTCCCAGATGTGTCCCCCAACTCAAAGCAAAGCATCTGATGTTTTCACTGTGGTAGGGGGATTTTGAATGAACGGAACACCTGTTCACATCTTTGTGAGGTCCTTCCACCTACTGAGTGCAGAACCGGGGAAGAGCGTGACCTGCCTAGACTGTGTTTGCTTGATTTGTAAACTGTTCAAAGCCATCCCTGTAGACTTTGAAGATTTAACCTGGCATGCTACACTACAAAGACACAAGCTGATGTGTCCCAGCAGTTGAAGGCAATCTTTTACTATCATTTAAGGACTTTCCTGAATCCTTGAGATGAGATATGCTAAGTGCAAGAAATCTGGAGGAAAGGAGGTATCTTTTGAGTCCGCAAAGACCTTGAGATCATTAAAGGGGAGATCTTCAATGGTACTCTGAACCTCTCCCTGAAAGCCCAACATCTGCAGCCAAGGTGCTCTTCTCATGACCACTGCAGTGTATATAGACCATGCTGCAGAATCTGCCATGTCTAAGGAGGCCTGAAGCGATGTCCTTGCTAGAAACTGGCCCCCTTGAATATTGGCTTTAAATTGGTCACAATGTTCCTCT